CAGAGTTTCATTCAAAGTGGCTTTAATGTAAGTCTGACACAGAAAAAGGGGGGATGGGGATGAAACTGGAGATGAAATCTAACCAGTATTTATGATCTTACATGATACTGTAGTTGGTTTATGTGTTAGGAAGACTCCTTGTGACATCATGGAAATCCCAAATAAAACATGATTTTTTGCCTGTACTTACAAGAGGACCATATATACTCAGGTGCTGTGTGGGCTGTGCTCTCTGCTTCTCCAAACTCTTAAATCAATCTGCATCAGAGCTTATAAACCTGAAGTGCTGCTGAATCAGAACAGTCTCACCTATCAGTCATGGTACACTGACTTTTCATGGGCAGCAATAACTTCACATAACACAGAACACCAGGAATCACCTCCTGGAATTAACTTTTCTGTTTATATTAATATAAGAACCACTACAATTTTGGATTACATTATATTTATTTAACTTTCGACATCCAAGCTCTGGGTCAGTTTGTTCTTTGTATCAGTGCATTTCTTCAGTTTTGTGTCTATGTTTATAGAGAACTCATGCTCAGAAACAAGATTTTTTGTCTAATTCCCTTGCACTGACTCCCCTTTTTCTCCCCAGTATATTTAATCTTGCTCAGGGGTTTTGGTCTTTCTCTGCAACCTATAATTTACTCTGCCAACTCAGATACTGTATTGCTGCTTTTACCACAGTTAAAGAAACACTGTCAAGTCCTTTTCAAATGTTTTCTTAGTCTTCAGTATGTTCTTCACTATCTCATATACTGTCCACATGTAGTAAAATACAACTATTTTTGCTGCAAATTATACTATTTTTCTCTCTCTTTTCCTATCAGCTTTCCTCTGCCATCATTTTTGGCAATGGAGCTGAAACAAATACACCCTTCACTGACAATCCAGTATACAAGTATCTGGATGTCAGCAGGAATGCAGAGGGCTCTAAGAATAGCACATTCAGTTCCTACAGTGCAAGCGGAGCTCAGAAATGCAGTGTGTCCCACCCAAACAATGGCTATTTATCAGCTACATCCCCCCAACAAAACAACCTTTTAAGTTGTGTTTTGGTTTCCAACATCTTACACACAGGGCAGTGCGCAGGACCGTCCCTCCTCCCTCAGACTCTCAAGTTTTAACTCAGACAAACTTGGGCTTGGAAAAGTAATAGCCACCCAAAGGGCTTCTTTTATTCCACAGTCTTAAACTGCAAAGATCACCGCTTCGTTTTCCTGCCCTCAGGGGAACCCTCCTTTCCCTTCACAAAGACCTCTGTCTGTTCCTATATTGGTGAGAGCAAAAGAAGAGCTCTTCTGGAAGTGGTGATGCAGTATCAGCATTGCTGAAGGCAGAATTGGGCCCAATGTATCTAACATGCCAGAATAGGAGATGTGCAAGTCCAAACTGTATTTAGTCAGGAAAATCAGGGAGATACCCAACCATTCAACCTGCCTGGGCAAATGCAGCTTTTCATTCCCCCAGAAACAGCCAATAAAGTCAAGTGGCTAAGCTTAAGTGCAGAAAACAGTGTGTGATAGTTTTGGAGACTATCTTTGACTCTCTGACATTTACTACTGTCTTTACATTGTGGATTTATTAGCCTAGACCTTTGAGTATAGTTTCACTCAGCAAGCATCAGTCCTAGATGAGTAAAATGAAAACCTGTACACATTCACAAGAGCAATGTTAGCACCACCAGGCTTTGCAATATCACACAATGCAACCCGTCAGTGCCTCAATCAATATCTGTCAATGCCCAACAATAAAGACATAGTGCTTCGGATGGGAAAAGATTAGCCCTTATCAGATTTACCAGTTGTCCAGGCAATACAGGATCGGGGATGCACACTGATTACGCTTAAGAGATACATCGTGAAGTACGGAAGTGGTAGAGCTGCGGGTAGTAACCCAGCTTTTGGAATGCAGAGTCTTTCCTTTAATACGCATTGAAACAACAGCAAAAAGCTCATTCCGGGGCTGTGTCCCAGGGCTGCTCTCTTCCCCATGTTGCTCTGCCTGCTACAAGGATCAGATTTCATGGTTTATTGTTCTCCCTCCAACTGGCCACCATCCACATTCTTCTCCCGCACAAAGCTGCACCTCTTGCTCAAAAGAAGAAAGCACTATGCCTTCTTTTTGTAAATTTTAGTCACATTTACAAACACACACAGAGCAAGGGGATGACTTCTAAACATTCCAAGGAATGCTGCTGGTTTTTGTTGAGTGGATTTCTGTGAATGAGGCTGAAAAAGGCAACTTTCCACCAGAAGGTTACTAATTTTTGAAGATGGTGAAGTTGTGTTCCCTGTCTTCTGAGCCTTTAACATACTGCCTTTTAATGAAACAACTGCTTCATGCTTGAAAAGTCACATTCATCACCTGCCTTAGGAAGGAATTAGGAAGGAGATGCTGCAAAGCTCAAATTCAGCTCTGGATACACTGCTGGAAATCAAAACCACAGTCATTGGAACTACTTTCCTACAATGGAGTAAGATTGGTGCACAGCAGATCAGGTCCAAAATTTCAGTATCAACGTCTCAATGAAAATAAGAACTCTGTTGCAGACAAATAACATCAACATGCTAGGGTCAAAGAAACACAGTAAATACCCCAGAATTTTAAGGTTTCCCACCTACAGTATTTTTTTCCATGTCATTTTTCTTTTAATTCAGCACTCAGGGTCCATTTTCTTCTACAAGATTTGCAGTAAAGTCATCAAAGCCTAACAAAATGCTCCACTCCTCAACATCCAACATCTTTCTTCCACAGCTCAACAGACTGTACAACTGAAGCACTGGCATCTGCTGTGTAATTATTGCAGCATAAGTGTTCCTTGTAAAATGAGGGAGGCACCATAAGCTTACCTAACTAGTCTGAAAATGTAAAATGCTCATCACCTGTAATCACTGCCTTAACTGTCCTTGATCTTTACTAATAGCCACCGGATTATAACAACTCTCTCTCCGATGGTGAGAATCAGCTAGAACACAGCACAGGCAGAAAGGAAAGTTGCTGGAAGAGGGGCTATTTTGGCCAACTAAAGAGACTCAATGCAGGAGTTTTTCCCATTTTCTTTTGGCTAATCAGTGATGGAAGGGGTTCAGAGGTGTAAGACAAAAATGCAAAATGCAAAGCAGGGAAAACTAGGGCACAGGAAACCTCAGGAATCCAACAGGGATGTGGCAATTCCACCCAGCAGCAGAGCCAGAAAAAAGAAATATGCTCAAAGGTTATGGACACACGACCAAAAGCGATCATGTTACTGCAGTTAACAACTTACTAGCTATCATCTGAGATGCAGTAAAGCACCATGAAGGTATTCTTCACCCAACTGCTCCTGACCAAACCATCTGATGGGCTGTAATGCAATTTACTCATTTCAATCTCACTGCCCATCCATACTCTTAGATCCCAAGCCAGAAAGACCCTCTGTGTTTTATTTGGGTCTCACTGCACACAAACAGGGTCTTCACATGCTTATAGCAACATAACTGCTTCAGGCCTTCATTAAATTAGGGGCCTTATATTGATAACCCTTTAAAGTGAACTATCCGTGCCATGTTGTTACATGTCACGTATTTGGATAAGCAGATTTGGAGAGTCACCAGTCCTGCCCATTTGTCTGTTTTAAGCTGCTGTATTGAAATACTGAGTACTGAGTGTGCACAACTTGAAAGATAGTGACTTGATCCTGAAGTGACACAATGAGAATGCACCTCATTGATTTACTACAAAGAAGCTGTAACTATCCCCTTATTTCTCATTGCTACCATAAGACAAGGTTACACCAAGTCGCCTACATTGAAGAAATCTGCCTCCACTGAAGAAATCCACCTCTGTAAAAACCACTCACTTAGCAGTGAAGAAGAGCAAAATAATTCAGGCTCTGGAGCATATTCCCCAGCTAAGCACCACACTCTCCAGCAAATCCTAGCAAAGCTTCAGAAATCAAGCTCTGTTTTGCTGAGTGAGAAGCAATTCAGTCCTTCACGAGGAGTTGGTAGAGTTCCTGTGTGTGCAACTAAGCAACTTGAAGGATTCTGCTTCCAAAGTTGGTTCAGCCTAACAAGGTACATGGCTTTGGTGGTGAGATTCAATGTTTCATACTATTCTTGCTATCAAAAATATAGCTATTTATTCCTCATACCCAGGCTGCTCTCAGACTGAGCCCTCATGTCCTTCCTTGCCCTGAAGTCCCCGTTCACCATAAATCTCTGATGCACAGTGGTAGGGGATGGCGCTTTGCGCCTCTCCTTGAGTCTCTCAGGGAGAAATTGCTGGAGAGAAATCAGGGCTGTGTCTCACTGCTGCCAGCTGCAGTTTTGCATTTACCAGCTGCGTTGGTATCACAGATCAACAGAGGGTGGGGAATGGCCCTCAGCCAAAGCAGGGCATTGCCCAGGGCAAGTGCTAGCAACAGGTATTTCAAGTTTACTTCTGCTCTTCAGTAGCTGTAGTTTGACCTGCTGTACATGGAGTCATATTTTAACTTCGCTTCTCACCGTACCTGATCTTTTCTAGACTCAGAAGCATAACACAACGAGTAACTTCTTGAAGGGCACTAAGAAAAGATACTCTCACTAAAAGATGATAAATATGTTACAGGAACATCCATACAGCTTACACTAACTAAGAATACCTACAAAACATAGGTCCATGCTAGATCTATGAAGAAAATTAACTCTATCACAGCCAAAACCAGCACAATCACCTCTACACATAAAAATAATCCATTTTAGTGGCATAAAATGTGTTTTGCCTAATGGCACAAAAGTTCTCCACTTGACTAGAAGAGACAATGCACAGTGGAATTATGGGACATTTCAACTAAAGAAATAAAATTACTCTGATAACACCAGCACGATGTCATTGCTTTGTCCATGCATACACTGCACACACCCCAGAAGTTCAGTGTTGTCACGTTTGAAACACCAAGGAAAGTAAAAATAAGAAAGCAAACAACTCAGTATTTTCACGCAAGCCCGGTAATACAGAAGAGATGTTCTCACCTGTCTGCTCTGGGATGGCAACGTGGCAGGCTGCATGTGCCTCTGCATCCGATGTGGCTGCATCAGCTGCCGAAACTGCTGCTGCAGAAACTGGCTGTTGTTAGTCTGCTGGGGTGGCTGTGCAGCTGGAGATGGCTGCTGCTGCTGCGGCTGTTGCTGCTGGAGATAGTGAATGAGGGACTGCTGCCCTTGTCCTGCTGTCAGAGGTGGTATCTTTTGAGTAGCTGACTCTGAGGCAAAGTGAGACAGTGGTTTGGTGTTATTGAAAGAAAACTGGTCTTGGCTAACAGGGCTGTCAGCCACCAGACCTGGCTGCAAGGTAGTGGATGGCTGTTGCATAATTATGTTCATATTTTTGGACTGGTTTGTAGTCATTGATTTAAAAAGTGAGCTCTGCATGTTCGTGGGGTTGCTGGTGGGAGTGATGTTAGAGATTAATGTACCTTGGGGACTGAAGGGCTGCTGATGGAGAGCTGGGCTTGACAGTTTTTCTGGCCTGTATGGTGGAGAAGGTCCAGTATTTGTGGAGGCCATGCTGGCAACCAAGTTGTTCTGTGGACTTTTAATATTGTTGGCTGGTAAGCTGGCTGCTGTCAGGGTGGGCAGCATGGAGCTCTGTGGGCTGAAGGGCTGCTGGTTCAGAGCCGGGCTGGAGAGCTTTTCAGACCCATAGGGAGGAGAGGGGCCACTGGATGGGGTGCTGCTGGAAGTCATGCTTGAAAGCAGGGTGTTTTGAGGACTCTGAATGCTGTTTCCTTGTAGATTATTAGCAGGCATGCCAGACACCATTACATTTTGAGGACTGAAAGGTTGATGGTGTGGGGAGGATCCTGCCCTGTAAGGTGGAGAGAGACCAGGAGGAGACATAGTTGGCCAGCTAGGAGGCTGTACTTGTTGCTTAGTAGTAGACACCTGCTTGCTAGCTGCCAGCTGCTTTAGCTGCTGAGCATGCCAGTTGGAGCCAGGTAGGTTGGGTAAGGGTACTGGAAGCATAGGTGGTGGCTGGTTCTTGCTCTGAGCTGCTGTAGAGATGGGCGATGCAACAGGTTTGTTTGAAGAAGGAACTTGGAAGTTGGCTCCAGCAGATGATGGTCTCATCTGAGGAGATCCTCCACTGGTCGGATTGCAACCCGGAGAAAAATCTTTGTTAGCAACATGGTTCTCCAAGTGGGAGGTCTGTGGGGAGGACTTTGGAGTGGTACTTATGCTTGGTTGAGAATGATTCAGCCCAAGTGGCTCTTCAGCCTTGCTGCACAAAATCTTCTCCAGGTCCAGGTCATTGGGAGAAGGATCAGGCATTTTTGTCAGCTCTTCCAATAGATCTTGCAGCTCTTGGTCCACAGACTGCAAGCTGTTTCCTTTCTCATCATAGTGGACAATGTTATTGTTTTGCGCTCCTATTGATCCCTTCTGATTTATTTCGGTGTTGGGTGGCACTGAAAATGGGGAACTAATGCCACCACCATTTATGTGATTGTTTTCGAGGAGCACTGGATGACCTGCGACTCCCAGGGAGGAAGCACTGTGACCAGTGGAGAATGAAGAACTTTGCATTTCTGGACACGCCACATTCGGATTGGCACCTTGGCCCATGGCAAGGTTTACATCATCAAGACAAAGTCTTTTACTGTCATTTGGGAAAATGACATCAGGCACACTGCTGGAGGCAGGAGAGCTGTCATCTTCCAGTTTCCTTTTAATGGATCCCTGTAACTGTGAAAATAAAAAAGGAAGAAGAAAGGATCCATTATTAACCTTATTCTAACATGTTCTGAAGCTCCACGCTGTAACACTGGGTTGGAGATAAAGAAAATTAAATCATATAATTAAAAACCCAATCATCTGAGACAAATTCAATCAGGATTTAAGTGGGTGCAACTTCATTGAAATCAAAAGAATTATAGTCAGACAAAGGCTAAATCTCACATATTGGCCTTACAACAGATGCTAAAACTAAACAGTACTGTCTGTCATGTGAACTGTAATAGAAGTTTTTTAAATAGTTTCTGGTTCCATTTCAATTAAGACATTATACTCCCTGCATAACAAACATGCCTACATTTTTATGATAACATTTTTTAGGTCTAAATGGCAGATCTGAATGAAACCCTGGACTGAATTTAGTGACCTTCTGCCAGTGACTCGGATTAAATTCAGACCTGGGACAACTAAATTGTTTTACATTCTTTATAGGCAGGACATCTGAAATAACTGGCATACTTTCTAAACAAACCAAACCAAAACAAATTCTCAGCTATCTATCTAAACAGACTTTCAAGCCTCCAACTCACAGATGTTTTAGATTTCAGAAACAGTAAATAACCTCTTATTTTTTGTTTATTCTTCTAAGTCTAAGGCAGTATGGGCTTTATTCTTTTGAAGGATTGCAAGTCATTCACAAAAATGGAAATAGTTTCAAAATGTATCAAATAAGTATGGTGATCGACAAGAATTTGTAAGGTTGTAAATCCACAAATCTTAGGGGAAAAAATCTGCCTTCAAACTGAGAACAATGCTTCTAATACTAATTCAGCACGATATGGCAATCTCTTCCAAATATAATCATCTGTGGTTTTCAGTTTTAAGAAGCATGACCTGTATGTCATAGGATTAATCAGACATTAACACTGCTGCTTCAAGTTAAGGGAAATAAGCATTACGTTCTTGTTTATCAATAGAGGGAGGTAGCATTTTGATAAGTATCTAATCAGCAATGGGAAAACCATAGAAGGTCACTGTTCCTCTAAGGCAGCTCCCAGTAAAGCCTCTCCCTGCTCTGGCCTACAGTTGCAAGTGTCATCTAGTCATCTAGTGCCATGAAAAAAGATCACATCTAATATCAGCTCATATCACCAGAAAAGTCCCACCACCTAAGCCCAGCGTAACCAGGTGCATTCTAGGGCTGTGGTGGGTGATGACTAACTTCTAAATTTTACACTAATGATTGAGGACATCAGTTTTGCCTGAGAATCACTACACAACAGCCAGCAACTTTGGTGCTCTTAGAGCACCATCACCACAGGGTGTGTGGAGGCTGCAGGGCACAAGGTGGGCATACCTTGTGTGGCTCCTTCTGCAAAGAAAGCCACTGTCTCCCCACTAAATTCAGCCTATTTTCAAGCAGTCCTGAACATGCTTTATTCTGACCTGAGAACATGGGAGAGCTGCCCAGTGGCTCACTCAGTTGGACTCGCGCGAGTGCTGTCTCATCACTTATTTCTGATTTGGTGGGCAGAGAGAAGGTTGTGGATTTGTGCCTACAGTTGCTTGGGCTACAGATGCAGTTTAGGATTAGTACGGGTCATAGCCATGCTAGCATCCAGCTTACCCAGGCATTTGGAGGAGAGTGAAAAGATACAAGCTAATTGTACATGATCATCATGGCAGATGGAAAAGCAGGCCTGCATGCTACAGGAAGCCGCTGATCAGCTTTTAAGAGGAGTTTACCTACCCTCTACCAACAGACGCAGAGGTTTGCATGGCATTGTGGCAAAGACTTTGACATGGATATTTTCCCCTTACCCTCTTAAGAGCTACCCCCCACTAGAGCAATGAATACTGCTCCCCTGTGACCTCCAGTTGCATTGCTTTCACATGGGTTACACTCAAAAACCACTGGCAAGTGAGAGCCAGTGCTGGAGTGTTGCTTTCAGCCGCTGTTCAAAGGTTACCCACAGCCCTCCTTGGTCACAGTGCTACGTGTGGTTTGAATGGCTGGTCTGCGAGACACTGCCTTCACAGCTCACCAGAGACAGCTGAAGCATCAGAAATTTGATTATTCCTCTAGGCTGATGAGGCCAAAATTTGCTTAGCTTTGGGAAATGGAACAAGGCCTAAATCTTCTCCCAAGTGTGGGTCTAATGATGGATGAAATTGTTTTCCTTCATTTTCTGTGCTAAAACTAAGCCAGAGCTGCATGTTTCAACAAATGTTGCCCTGTGTAGGCTGAAACATGTTGGTAGAGCATAACTACACGCATTTAAACCCAGACACGTATAGAGAATCTGTACAGGGGTTTCACACATCCAAAATAAACACAGCATGTTCCCAAGTTGCACCCTGGGAACCTTCAGGCAGGAAGTGGTGGGGGATCTCCCACACTTGGCCAGCTGACATGCTGGCATGCATGTCCTTGCCAGTGCTGCTTCTGCCATAGGACATTCCTATGCGCTGAGTTAGTGGGGAAAAATTTGGGCTTTCTAAACACTTTGAAAAATAGCTTTTTAACTTTTGCACTGGGGAATAAATGTGATGGGAAAACAAAGCTCCATTTCCCCAAGACTGTTACTAGATATAAACAGATAAATAAGGCCATAGCTTTCAGATGGCATGGGCATTCCAAAACTGGGGCTTTAAATAGGTTTTTAGACAGGATGCTGTTGCTTAGCCCAGGCAAGAAGCCTGGCTGTAAGAGAGGCAGTGAAATGAGCTGATGTGTCATGTTCTCTTGAAAAACAAGCCTTCTGCTTCCCAGGTGAACAATTGCACAAGGACTGTAAAATCTGGAGCACCAGTTTCCCCACGTGCAGGCAGGTGTAACTCCTCACAATTTAGTAGCATTGCTAGATTTGACTACAGCCCCAAATTTGAGAGAAGAAGACACCGTCCTTAAAGCAACTAAAGAAATCATAGAATAATTTTGGTGAGAAGGAATGCCTGTGTATCATGAGCCCTCTGCTTCAAACAGATCATGGATGAATAAAGCAGACCACAGCATTTCACCAGGCGCATAAGCACGAGGTATCAGGTACATGCAGAAATCTTTTCTTGGGCTGGCTGCGGTTCAGTATTCCCCACTGAAACACAGGTGGTTGTGACTCCATACAAATATGTTAACAACAACAGTGGCAGGAGATCATCAGTGAGGCACTACAACTTTAAGCACCAGGAGCTTTTGATGTAACTAATTCAAGAAGCTGCTTGTACCAGATCATGCAGCCAGTGCTCGCAAGACATTTTAAGACCATGTCTTCAAAACCTATAGCTTATGCTATTTCACAAAATCAACAGAAATGCGAAAACCACCAAAACATGTTCTTTTCCTTGCTCTGCTGGTTAGTATATTGGGCAGTTCAAACTGAATACCTAAGAAGTGAATAGAAATATTCTAGAAACACAGAACACACACATGCACATTAAGCTGGCTGGAGGCTGTTACGGCTAAGTATGGGAAATCTCCATATCTGCAAGCAAGGACAAAGCAGACAAGCCACAAAGGGACTCTTGCAATCTTGTCAAAATTCATTAAAATGCATTGGCATGCACAGCCTCACTTCAGTTTGGGAATACCTGCAAAACAAAGGCGGGCCCTCCAGTTTGAGGAATATCCGATTATGAGTCCTCCATTATCTCAGGTTTGCGTTTATAAGTGTGAGTGCCATGATCCCAGCACTAATATCCTTTCAAAACCAACAGGCTGTCTTTCTGGGAGAGATCCAAGTTACAAATGAGTAGAGCTGCTACTTCACAGTGGCAGTGTAACAAGAATAAGTAATAGCTGTTTACTCTGCCCTGTCTGAGGAAGCCATACGGCTGTGGTTACAAACACCTCTTTGCACAGAACTGATTCCTGACGTATGGACAGAGCACTCCACAGGCTTCTCTTGCGCAAAGAAGACAAGGCAGCCTCGGCAAGCGAAACTAGTCCTCGGCTGCACCCTCTCCTAGACCAAGCTCTCTGAAGTTGCCCACTTGGGTCACTTTTGGCATCAGGCTCTTTCCAAACTCAGGAGGTGGTGCTGACCTTGAGTAACTTGAGAAAGGAAGGCTGGACGTGGCAAAAACTGAAGGAGAGATCGGAGTGTTAATAAGCACACACTATGGTGGTTCCATTGAATTTTAATAACCAATTGAATGGACACCTCTGGACTGGCTCTCTGCTTTGCTGTCACTCAGCCTTCCTCCCTTAACACATCAGCTGTCCTTGGTTACCACTGGCTGGCCCTGCTGCCAGCCCCTGTTAATTCTCCACCCATCGCTTGCTCCTTTGCCTGCATGGTGTCTATGAGGACAAAGACACTGTGGTCTGCTCAGGAGACCCTCATTTCTCCAGCCTTGCAGCAATCCGCCTCCACCAGAAATAAGCCAAATCAAACTCGAGATTCCTATTTAGGTCAATGCAATGCAGAAATGAGAGAGAGGGAATATGTTAGGTAAGGTATTTCTGTGCCTCATCATGGCTTCTGCAGCCTGTCAGAGGAGATTCAAGCCTTGATTTACAGCAACTGCAGGGTGATGATTATTGATCTGCAGGCACCCCACCCCACTCACTGCTATCAAGAGACCCAACCTACAGCAGTGATTCCCACACCTACATGTTTCTTCAAGCAAGAACTGAGCCCAATGGGACCTTGAACTGATGTCTGTAGAGTCTGCACTGTCATCCTTTGGTGGCTGGTCTACCTTCCCTTGCCTCCAGCATGCACCATAGCTGGTGCAGACTCTTTTGATTTAATAGCACAAAATGGATCCATGGATCCATGACTGGGATATCCAGACAGGGAATCAGATAACCTTCTTTCATTGGGAGTCTCAAGACCCTTGTAACTCTCGGGAAATGCCAGCTGTTGGTTTTTCTCTTTATTCCACAGAAGAAAGAGAAATGATGGTAAAAGAAGATGGGGCAGGTGGGGAAAATTTCCATCTCACTACAGATGTGGGGATTTGCTAGTGTTGTGGTAGCTTTGTACAAAGCCTTTCAGAGCAAGACCCCA